AGATAAAGTGTACCTATAAAAAGCCACGGCCCTCAAAAAAACGGTGGGTATAATCAAGTAAATACAAGACATCATCGAGTTTGAGGTAATTTTCGTACAAACGTAACAAAATTGTATCCTAACGAGTCGCTTATGCTTTTAAATAAATATATGCCTGTGTCTAGACGTTGTAAGAACACCCAGTATTTTTCCATGTACTCATGTGAATGCATAGGCATTATTTGACGTAGGTAACGTTGTGTTAAAACCTCTTAAGCCTCGTATGTGTGTTGGGATTAAAAGTATTTGCACTGAGTTTTCTCTAAAAGCTGTAATTTTAATATGTAGAAACTTTGTTTTATTTCATACACAATAAAAAATATTTTTCAAAGTAACGCTCTGATCTCTGGAAGCTCTTGATTATTTAAGGGTTTAAAAAACAAAAGGTGGACTAGACAAGAGACTTAAAATTTGGAAAAATAGAAGAACCCAAACAAAAACTCGTTTCCTTTGGTAGAAAAAATGGAAACAATGAAAAAACTGGAAATAAATGTCTTTAAAAAATATACTTGTTTAATAAATTTCACATTAGAACTGACAAAAACTATTAGAAAATATCACGGAATTTGTTAGTAAAAATTTAATATAGAACTGTATACTTGGTCTTGGTGTCTTGGTCGTTCTAAATATAATCAGAACCTGACGATTTTATTATTAAAATCATGTCTGAAGCTTATCTTTTATAAATTTTGAATACCGTCTAACCTTGCATTGGCGGACCCAAAAAACTATTCCCAAATTAGCATCTGGCAATGATCAGGTATGCCGGCGCCTCTGTCAGTAGGTGAAAGGTAGGACTTTTACGGAGACATTGCGAAACCTTCACACGACCGCCTTACCCAAATTTCGTCGGGATGTGGGTTACCGTGATGTCGCGATCATTAAGGTAAGGATCGCCATTATCAAATAGGCCAAGTCGCATCGACCTACTTGCTCGGCTGCTAATCGACATGGTTCTGTTGAAAAACCGGAAGGCGAAATGTTTTATTTGTGAGGTTGTTCCAGTGAAAGAAACGAAAAGACCAGAATATTAATTTTTTAAGTAATTTTTTCCATATAGTCCAAGCCCCATCGTTGTATTCCACAAGAAACTTTTTTAATTTTACTTTCTTAGCGTACCCTACTGACATAAACAAATGAGCATAACAAACGCACATTTTAATACGCTCCCTGTTTTTACTAACTGTTCTATTTCTGAATTCAACATATGCCTTCACATTAAAAATTGCTGCCAATGCCAAACCCAGAGAATCTAGGTTTATTTGTCTCCATAGAACCCGTCCACGGCTGTCAACTGTTTCCATATCTCATTAGTAGTGTCATTATGTCTGCCCTTCCCTTGGCACAACTATTATTTACAAAATAAATAACTAATATTTGTCTTTCGACAAAGTAAAATATGTGTACACGAGTTAATGTTAAGTAATTTTGTTTATAAAGTCGACCGACAAATTTTTTGTTTAAATAAACGATTTTCGTGTGTCGCAAATTAATTTTATCTGTGGCAAGCAACTGTACGTCGTCTTCGCGTTGCCGTCGCGTTAATTGGGATTCTTCTGGTTTTATTCCAAACAAAAACAAAAAAAAAACACCGAGCACTCACCGAGCCGTTGCTTTGACCCGGCAAGCTGGCGCTGCCGTAAATATTGTGTGTGCTGGTTTCTACTGCTTATAAGGCTTACAAATTAAATAAACCACCAGCGTGCCTACGGGAGCAAAAATATTACAACTAGTTGGGTGTATTTTTATCGCCGGATCAAAAAAAGGAATAAAAAGTGCTCTCCGAATTCCAAAACTTTTTTATTGTGCGTATTTATACTCATATCAAATATTTTCTATTTTTGGTACTAGCTTAACTTTGAAGAATGAAGAATTCGAAGATAAAAGCACTCGAAATGTTAGTATTGGGAATAATTTTTATGCAAATGCGGATTATTACAAAAATGTAACAATATATCAATTTTATCTAAATCTGAAGATTTGTTTTGTCACGTACTTATTCAGATTGGTCATAGTAGTGTGCTATTATCTTTTAATACGCCAGGTGAAGATTTTACGAAATTAATTGCAAATATAAATAAATAAAAATTATTCGCAAATTATATTTTTCCGAAAGTGTCATGGACATTTTAATTGTTTCAAAGTGAATCAATTCGGCCTCGATTCACAAAAATGAAACTTAATAACTGCATAAATAAACAAAGACGTGTTATTTTACGAGGTTACGGAAATCCTATACAAGTATCTACTATGATTTTTTTTTAATTTATATAACTGTAATGCCATAACTATTTCATAGTCTAAATCTTTACTCTATTTTAAAGCCATTAGCGCTATTTTCGCGACTTCCCCGCTAATTACCCCTAGCTAATTTACGTTTCGTCCTGCCTCGTGCTCGATATTTTCCCGCCAAGGCAAGCTTTGCGAAAATACACCTCGGGGTCCCCAAACACCGATTTCCCCGACCTTGTGCCGCCCGTGTCTGTGCCGTGGAAAGAAGTTAATGACTCCGTCTATATATAGACACGGGAGGTAAAAATAAACTGGTACCTGTGCAGGACACTTTTCGAAATTGAGGAAACCAGTCTTCCGTGACGGCGACAGCGGTATCTCGAGTTTCTGCCGGCGATCTCCTAGTTTTTGTCGAGGATGAGGGTCGGAATGCGATCTTTTTGCGGCGCCGAGGCATCGTCCGATTAGCAGAACGCGAAAAATGAGCGGACTAGCTATTTTCTGGTCGATATAGCTTCGTTTTCTTAAAATTTGAAGTGGGTATGACGTTAAATTGTTTTGTTGCAATCAAATTTTTAATAATTAAACAAGGGTCAAAATAAAGTACTAGTAAATCCGGGACATGGCGCCCTACGTGGGGCTCAAATGTTCGGACAACGAAATACCTGCCTTATTGAAAAACGACAAAGTACTCAAATACAAATTTTTCGATACGTATCAAAATGTAAATAAATACATAAGTAATAAATAATTGTAACTCTTCTTCACGAAAAGCTCCTTAATTTTTTCGTAAATATTTCTTTAGACAGCCAACATTTCGAACCCCATAGATCTCAATCTAGAAAAAATGCATCATCGATTTTTTTTTATAATTCAATGTAATCCCATATAATCAATACGGATTAAACGTTTATCAGAAATGCGGAACAAATATACTGCGTAGTTCACATAAAACAATAAAACTTATAAAAATGCACAAGTATTCCAGGAAATATTTGTAAATATCGAACCAGGTAAACACACAAACAAGAAGAAATAGCGAATCACGTGAATATGTATGACTTTTTTTACTAGTTTGTTTAAAAACTTGTTTTCACACGGGTTTCTTTCAGTGTTGTTGTCTGTGATTCCTTAAAGAAACGCCACGGGAACAAAGTTTGTGGTCATACAATTAACTGCCATTAAAACTTCGCTGCTTACATACAAATTGGACCTTGCTAGAACAAAGACCGCTGCTACCGAATCGCATGTCATTAATTCGCATAGAAACGATCATATAAATTTGGCATTGTCGGTTTAACTGCGGGTTTACAAGAATCCGCGTAATCTTCTAAGGAAGTCACCGATTCGTTACTTTAGCATGCCTTGGACAAGGTCGGAGGGGTTCGAAAACTAGTCGAAATAGCTTGTGCTAATATTTGATTTGCAAATGTCAAGGAGATATTCCAGGATTGTGTTTCATTGGACGCTTGGAATAGTAATGGCTTCCTAGTTAACTTAACGACATTAGCGCGTACAGAAGGACGCTGAAATTACTTCAGCATTACTTTGCGTAATAGTAGATACCAAAAATGAATTTTCCTTTAAGTATTGGTATACCTAGGTGGGGTATATAATTGGTTTGTCTGTAGCGTTCAGAAAAAAACTGAGAAGGAGTGGTAACATGAGGTCGACCACTATTCATGCGAGCGGTGTGAACAGATCTCTTCCTAGTGTGGGCACTGCTAAGCATAGCTAAAAAAATCATTCTTAAAAAATCCGCGCAAAAAATACAAACACGCGTTGTTTATTGTGTCGCAAAACATTAACTTTAATACAATGATAACACGTATCAAATCCTAAGATCTACTTAAAACATGTGTAGTGATTGTTTGGTTAAATCTTTAAGCGGTGGTATTAACATTTTTTAAAATTCCAGTATTTTTAATAAATCTCGTGTCATTGCTGCGTGTTTACAATAATTAATTGGAATAATACATATCTTGTTCTGTGCGAAGCTTGATAGAACTTCGGATAGAATTGCATCATCCCATAGCTGTACACAAATACAGTTTTTTTAATATTCCTTGCGTTGATGAAGCGTATGTAGTCAGAAAATAATTACGCATAGATCTATTAAAGTAATATGACGCGTTTTTCTTAAGAAACGAGAACTGGTAAAAACTCATCATCATCGAAAAAACTGCCGAGTTATTGAAAACTTCTGCATAGACTTTTCTGTGTTCCTTTGAGCCTTTTCAGGTTATTGAAACAATCCACCTTTTAGGACTCGTCAGACGAACTTTAGTGAATCTACCTCGGTCTGGGTTTTGGGTTTGTGTCCATTTTACGATACGATTTGACAAACCTTTGCAATTTATTTTCATGTTTAATTTTATTACGTTACTATTCGTTGCACGTAGTGAGCATGTGATTTCCAATACAAAAGAAAACTACAACGATAAGGTGATGGAAATAAATATGCAAATGCTTTAATGATGCAAGGTTGATATGACGTTTGATTTACTTCCCATTTTGCAACTTTTTACTTGAGTAGTACACTAATAATAATAGTTTTTACGGTAAAAGCTTGTACTAAATTGCATGCCAAAAGGGAAAATGACATATAATACATATACATACTAGTGTTAAACCATAAACTGATTTTTTTTCTTGAAATTTACTTTACAGTTGTTTTTGTGTAATTGAAATAAAACGTTTAATAATCTATTTAAGAACTAGGTACTCACCGAGATGAGACAGACTGGATAGTTCAGAATCTGCAAAAAAAAAAGAGTATTGTTAACAGAGAATTAAATTTAACTTAGCTGCTAGATTTTTCGAGACGCGCTATAAAAAAAAAGTTGACCCCCGTTCCACAACCGTCATTACTGTCGTATTGTTTACTCAGACTCGGTCAATCGCTAATGTATTCGTGGATTTTTTTTTTAAATTTTGCTTCGAAACGTTTCCTAAGCATATTTACGAGACACAGTCATGACGTTATTTATTTTTTTCTATTCGATTACCGCGACTGATAATTGGAAAACAAAAGTTTTGTTTACGAGAGCGAAAATAGATGACGGACGGTTGTACACAAGATAAATATCTGGGTATTTTTGTTTGATTTCGGGTTTATGTTATTCCCAAATTAGAAGCTATTAATTAAGCGGCAGAGCTATTTTTAATCGACTTTCTATTTCTGAAATAGAACATCAACAGCGGGAAAAGAGACACGCCCATTTTACAGTAGTGATAGAGGATAACGCTAACGAGCCCCTCACTTTCCATGCCGTCTCTTAACATTTCTCGAGGATGTATTAAAATTCTGTTTCTTCTTTTTCATAATTTATGTAAGACCTCTCGAACAATTCGTAACAAGACTTCAGGCAGTGCTAAATTTTGCGTCACAGATCATTATGGACCCTGGCCAGAGAAATAAAAAGACGTATTTACGAGATAATTGTACGTAGATTTATTTGGAACGACGTCGAAATTATTTTTCGTCGTCGGCTGGGCTCGACTTTGCGAAATAGACTATTTGGCACTGATCGACAATTTTTTGAATAGTACTAATGGGAAATACCGCCTTTAAACAACTTGAAATTTGAGACACATGTTTTATATTGGGGCTTATACCTATTTCTTCAGAGTTATGATTCATACAAATGATTACAGATTACCTGAATGGTAGGCATATCATTTACTTAATAGGCATGACGTGGTATGTGAGGTTAAGTAGCTGTAATTTAATATATTAGTCAAGGTATCCGCCAGGAGAACCTAAAAAAATATGGTAATTTCATACCAGCAGGCCTGATCTGGTTATACATAATGTATATATTTCGCTAACATGAATTACGAAGGTATTATGCGATATATCGAGCGTTTCTAATTATTAAAGCGTTATTTTGCGACGTACTAAATATCCCGATACTGAAATAGTCAGTTCTTTTATATCACAACAATGGTATGTAGTTCAAATCGAGGGGAAAAATCTAATTTTGAATTGCAAAGTGGGATCCTCCTCTTTGATTTAATATTTGTTATTACTGGTAAGACCCGGTAAAAAAACGCAAACAATTCTCGCTTAAAATGATCTCTGGAACCTTTGCGGTCTAGCCAAAAATCAGACGAACTTGGCAGAGTGCAGCAACACACTCCGCAACGTAGTACCACACACCACACACACACACACCTGGCCAATTGCCAAACTTGTATTTTTTTACGACAAGAAAAATATTTGACGACAGTCAAAAGTCACAAGAGCGCTCGTCACGCTCGGAATACTAAAAACTGGATTGAAAAAAGTTTAAAGGTCGAGTCATTGAATTTTGTATGTGTGCGTTTTAGTAAAAAAGAATCAGCGCTAATATTTCTTTGAAATTAAATACACTTGAACCATTTTAAGGACCTCTAAGTTAAACGACATGAAACTGAACCGTGTCAAATGGAATAAAAAAAACGCCGCAAGAAACCCGAAGCAGCTGGCCCAAGTACACACAGTAAATTATCAGCGGGCGCTGTGTTAAATGCTAAATTGTAAGTGTACCATCAATAAAAGCGGACACATCATACGAATCGAGTTACCGCCAATTGAGTTAATTTAAGTTGTTGTTTATGCGGACTAGTAATTATTAAATAATACATCGCTAGTACCACCAATTGATCTTTTCCTTTGTTCTTGACCTCAGTCCCCGAGATGATTTCGGTCGGACGCAATAAAGCAGATTCCCAATTCTCGCCCTAATAAACGTGTTTAATATGCCTGTACATATTTACTACCCCTCGTATATAAAAAGAAATTGTAGCATCAAAACAGCAGTGGATATCAGGTATAACGTTGATTCAATTAAGAGAAACTGAATATTTATCGTATCGATTTCTTAATTGTGCAACAGTTGGCAATTAAAAACAAGTTTGAATATCGGTATCAGATTGTTTTCATATGTATGCAACCAAATGTTCAACGTTACATCACAGCGCCATCTACACAAGTTTGTGTTACTCTGGAAATATAAATAAATACTAATAACTAATTTGCAATGAAACGATCGCCCTCTAGTAGGCATTCACTAAAGTTTTAATTCTACTGTAGGAAGGTTGTCATTTTCGTTATGTAACGCCATCTCGTTGTTATTGTAACCACATAAAAGTTTTTAGAGTCACTAAATTCAGCGACTCTAGCCGTTTATGTTCTGTACCGCCATCTTACGGTAAATAGTTTAGTTGTAATCATGAAACTTGGTTTTCGTTCTGTAGCGCCACCTTTCGGGAAGTAGAAATTACGTACTACAGATTTCTTGTTGCATATCTCACCTCGTTCGTTTAAGTTTGTCGATCCATCACTAGATGGCAACATTGATACACAAATGTAAGGATTTTAGATTATTAAACATGGAGACTAGATAAGGAGCACGAACTCATACGGGAAAATTGACAAAATTTGTCCAAGAAATGGCAGAAGTTGGGGTGGCGCTAGTGTTCCATATGACCCAAATGAATGTAGCTTCATAAATACGAGTGAAGTAAGCAAATAACCAATTTTATTTTATTTATATTGAGTTTAATAGATATATTGGGGAGCGGGGAGGTATACTAACCTAAAAACTAGAAGTCAAGTCAATAATTATTACAATTTGTTTTTATAAATGGTAAATAAAAAGTTTCGAAAATAATTTAAATATGGTAATAGTATGTGAAGTGAATGACTGTCAACAGATTTAAAATAAAACAGTACGTTTGTGATCTGCATTTTCAATCTAATGATGTCCAGCAGTTCTATATTACAACTTGACCGAATAGTGGGTTAATATTATGGCAAAAGGTCGAATAATTCGGAAGTTGGAAGCAGCTTCTTTGATTCTTAATACGGTAGAGAAATTTTTAAATAGAAAGATTTCATAAGTGAAAATATTGTATAATTGAATGATGCATTGTTTCTTTATATATTTTGCAGCAGCATCAACAGCAAGAGCATCCGCTACACCAGCAACAACAGGTGCAGCAGCTACAACAAGAGCAACAGTTACAACAACAACAACAACAACAACAACAAGAACAGCAAGTAAATCAAGAGCAATTAAGTTACGATGAGATTATACTAGAAAGTGAGCATCCTGTCCTGTATAATCTAATAAAAGAAAAGTTCTGTTGACGTGTGATGAGGTCTCGACAAAGCAACTATGAATATGTTCACATAATATTGACAATAGCAACAAAGTATACTTTATTTATTTCTACATATTCTTGTAATTTATATTACGTGCATAAATAATTAAATTCGTATCTTTCATATAATTCTTGCTGGTGACATCGCTATTATCATTACTGAATTGAATAAATCATTTCCAATTAGTTGCTGTTTCTTTCCTGTTAGTAAAAAACTGATTGAAATTCAGATATCATATAAAATTTAAAGAGAGGATACGTGTAGTAATTGATGCTGATCGATCTGTATTGGTAATTGACTACTTTTACTAAATATTTAAACATGGAAATCAATTGCTTCATGAACAAAATGAAATTTTAAGAAGATAGACTGACACGTATTACTTATTTTTAAGTTGTTTTATTTGTAATATATATTTACTTTGTTACTTGTTTGTTATGAATAAATATTTATTTTATTTTAATTAGGCACAAATAATTTCGTTTTTTTTATTCAATTAATAAAACATTGAAATCTTTGGTAGATAAACATTTTATTTTTACAAAATATATAACAAAAATATAGAACATTGCTAAAATATTTCTTTATAATACCTTATTAATTTTGGTCTATACTCTACCTTGGAATAAGTCATGGAACCATGTTACGTTCGAATTAAATCAACAATTTTACGAAAGTAGAATTAAATTTTACAGCAATTTTAAAATATATACCCAGAAAACTAATCGATTTTAAACAGTTATAAAATATTTAGATTACCTATTTTTTGTGACCTTTATAATGGAGTACCTATATTTTGTTAAAATTTTGGTATCAATTGGTTGTCATGTTGTTTTAAGCTTCTTGACATTTTGAGAAGAGAGCGATATGACTCTCGAAGCATTGAGAAGTCTAAACCGACAACATGGCAATCAGCTTAGAAATTGTCCAACCATAATTTATCGACTTTCCATAGTCAGTTTTCAGTTACACTATAATATAGTATATTATTGGTTATTCAAAAAAAATATGGATTGTGATATACTCTATCTTATATGAATTCCTTTCCCATCAATTATTCCTATAACCTGCTCTGGAAATTCATATTGGGCAAAATATTGTTCGATTACAACTGCCTCATTATCTCGGCCATTCTATAATTTATGGAGACAAGTTACTTAGCAAGTATGTAACTTTTCTGGTTGTTGTAGAGCTTAAGGCAATGCAAAATTTACCAGAATCATGGGTGAAATAATTAGAAATGGCAAATTTTTCTTCAATTCTGTTAGCTACTTCCCATATGCTAACATGGAAATGTTAAAAAAACTTGGCCACTATATTCAGGTACAATAATTTCAAAGTAGTTCTTATTTTTTACTCTATCTGTTTCTTAGAATAAATCTATTTCATCACCACTCTCAAGCTGGACAATGCGTCTAATAAGTCATCTGAATCACTGGACTCAAAATCGGACATCTGTAATATTTTAAAAAGTTTATTTAAAACACCGAGTTTTTTTATATTCTATTTTTTATTACCACAAGTAAAAATTCCATATTAATAATACAAGAATTACTATTTTTTTAAAGGCAACTTCCTGTATAAAATGTGACTATTTTTTACTAACATTAAACTAAAATCTTTAACAAAGTAATTATCAAAAACATAAACCTTATTTATAGGTTAATATTAACAACGTCATCACGTCATAAATTCCTTGAAAACTAGTTTCTTTCTACGAACACCAAATTCTTCTCATAAAGCTAATATTTCTTATTACCTATTTAGTTTAATTACAGTCCGGAATGATATATTTTCATGATTTATATAATTCAAAGTGGCTTACATCATTTATTTTAAAATTTTTAACACTACAAAAATTACATGATTGATTTATAATTCAAACTGCCGCTTTTTATCTCCCCTCCCTACATATGGGACATATGGAACACTAGCGCCCTCTTATTTTTGTAAGATTCTTGTTTACATGGAGTTCGGGCTCCTTGTATAGTCTCCATGTTATTAAAGATTAAACATTCAAATCTGCTCACACGAGATCTTAGAACTATTACCTATTGCCTTATTATGGGGTGTAAATATATAAATACAAAGAAATTAAGGATTTTGGCTTTCCGAATGAAGTTTTATTATATTATTTTATTAAAATTGTTTCAAAATGAACGGAAATAAAATGGAAGCCTTTATTATAAGCGAAAATTAATACGTACTTTTTTTAGTTATTAACAATTGTCGATTGTCTTATTTATTTACACTATCTTAGATATGGTTTGGAAATGTTTGATATTTAATCCAAATAATAATGTAAACTAAAAATTAAAGATACAGATTTTTCAATATTTCAAAATGGTTTTTATGACTGACGATTTTATATTCGAAACTAAATTTTTCAAAGCTCTGACTGATTTTTTGCCAGTTTATTAGCACAAACAAGTTTTCTTTACTAATTCAACAAAATTAACTTTACGTGCACCTCGAACTAATGGGACAGGAGAAAAGTGAAGAGGTATTTATCTATTTATTTATTTAGCAGAAGCTTGTGGTAGGTACTAAAGGAATAAATTTGTTTTTAAAATGATATTTGACAAGATTACACAGGCTTTGATAGTAAATTCATACAATAGCAATATGTAAATGTTTAATTCAAGCTTGTAAAGGCATTTTTGATCGACAACGTCTGCATACTGCATATCAGGATACCAGAAATTAGAAGCGACATTCCACGCGGAAGGAACGAACCCACCACTTAACCGCACATTTCGTCGGTTTTCTGGGTGTTGAAGAAATTAAATTCACTGGGCGAATTATGTCACCCGACACGGTACTCGTTTTCGATGCGCGATATTGGCGATATGTTAATAAAGACCGCGTAGAAGGTCGATTGAAAACCGAGAGAGGGCATTTCGGAACTAATTGGGTATTCTGATTCAGAACAACCTTTAACGCTTGTTCCAGCGGTTTGCAATATAGATTACTAAAGGTGTGAAACTCACCGGTGTCATTGAGAAGGCCCTGGATCGAGTCCTCGTTGAATCCTCCCTCCGTTTCTGTCGACATGGCTGGAAAAAAAAGAACCAGATTGAAATTATGACAATAAATAATGTGAACGGGAAAAATGAGTTGTAAAATACTGTAATCCTCTATTTTGAGCAACTCTTAAAACTGTCATTTATAAAAAGTATTTTCCAGTTCCACAAAAAATTGTTGTACTCTTATTGCAAAATTAAGGACTTGATTGGGTGTATTAATCAAGTTCTTATTTAAGGAAGGACAAATGCAACTATCGTGATAGAAAAATCAACGAATATACGGAATTACGTCACAAACAAACCCATATACTTGAAATCGAATTGCATTTACGATAACTTGAACGCATTTCACGTAGTTGAGGCAGATTGTAAACAACAACGCTGTGAAATACCGTTTTTCACATAATATAAACCAGTCTGCGTGATAAAAAATTCAATCTGAACATTTATCAGTAAAGTAAAAAATCAGAAAGTTGCTCGACCGTTGTTGCTTGATAAAATTACAGGAATCGCTAAAACAATCAAGTAATTAACACGTGATTCAAATTTATAAATAAAATACATCAATATTTGAGCAACAGGTGTTTTGCTGACTTTATATACAGTATATTTTATTTCAAGTGTACTTCATCACACATATTTGATTATTCGAACTAGCTTATTGTCTGATTTTTCATTGTCCTTCATATATAGTGTGTTCTACGATTGTGTCCTGATGTCCAGGAACTTTTAGTTTAAATTTACAAGAAAATTTTGAACGAAATGCTCTGTACACAGCATACTTCGTTCTAGATACGAGCATACCCTATTTAAAAAAGTAATGTTTGCTTTTAATTTCACTTTTTGGGAAAACATTGAAATAATTGACGAACACCACTGCTAAATATTTGTTGTGTTGTCCAGCGTTAACAAGACATAAAAACAAGGGTTTTCCCGTGCTTTTATTACCTGAATTTGGACCACCGTACAGCAAAAAACAAAGTCGTCTAATTGTGCTAATTAATTAAATTAATCTCTTAAGTATATACAGGGTGTGTCCCGCTGCCTTCAAAATAGAAATTTATTTTAGTTCCGGAAACTGGGGTTGTTTGGTCCCTCGAATAGCTTCAAATTGTAGTTAGAACTGTTAGTTCAAATCTTTCTGTATAGATGGCGTGGCGATACTAAAAAATTTTTTCATCCCTGGAACGTAGAAATGCAGTCCATCTGAAAGATCGTTAAATTTTGAATAATTTTTGTAATATAAAGTTTTTCCCAATATTTACTCGTTTTCGAGACATGTCATCTTTAATATGCAATGTATGATGCAACAGGAAAATCTATTATTTTATCTAAATCACACCGAACAAAATATTCTTTTAAAATATTGTTATAAGGACTTTATTCACATCACACTACATACTAACCAACAAACAATAAATTATAAAAAAACAAATGATCGATTACAGAAAAAAAATTGTATAATGGTAAATCTTATAACTATAATTAAATTGAAAGACGCAACCTGATAAAACTGTAATTATTGGAAAATTAATATGTGTCATCTGTCATACATATTTTATTTTAAACTAATGACATAAGCCACTTATGACTGCATTTTTTAATATTGTACCGCGTAATTTAGACTTCAAATCATGGTCGTCGTAAAATCCAATAGTTGTCAAATATATATGTCACTTAGAGCAAACATAATGAAATGTAAATAAGTAACGTGAAATATGCAGGAGCATTTAACTGAGGCGCAAAGAGTAAGGGCTGTAGCTAAATTAGAAGATAATTGGTCGTTGTGTGAAGTGGATGCTGATTTAAATGTCAGTAACAGTTGTATATTCTCTCTGTGTTGCGCCACTAAGAAAAGTTTGATTTATTACGATAAAATCCAAATGAAATTTCCATAACAACCAAAATCCGTTCACATTTGGGTGGCGCCAACTGTACAATGTTTTTTTCTTCATTCGTTTGTTTTTTAATAATTTAAGTATTGTTTGTTAGTTAGTATGTGGTGTGACTAAAGCCATTATAACAATATTTTAAAACAATATTTTGTTTCAGTGTGATTTAAATAAAATAATAGACTTTCCTGTTACATCATACATGGCATATTGAAGTCGACATATCTCGAAAACAAGTAAATATAGGGAAAAACTTTATATTACAAAAATTGCTCAAAATTTAACAATCTTTCACATGGACTGCATTTACACGTTCCAGGGATCAAAAAATTTTTTAATATCGCCACGCCATCTACACAGGAAGATGTGAACGAACTGTTCTAACTACAATTTGAAGCTATTCGAGGGAGCTAACAACCCCAATTTCCGGAACTAAAATAAATTTCTTCATTTCGGAGATATTGTCAGCGAGAGTGTTAAATGGCACACCCTGTATATGCAATTTTTTTATTCGGTTTAAGGTGGTGTAGCTCATAAAACAAATAATAAAGTGCATTAATTACTGGAGAAACGAGACTGTCGGAAAAAAATACAGTACCTACTGTAATAAAAAAAATAACAATAGTGTTTATTTCGAGTTTCGCGTATATGGAATTTCCAAACTTGCAGCGAAACTAATTTCTCACGATATATCTCTTTTATTGCCACTAAAATCAGTTTTGTAAAAGCGAAGTGTTAAAAACAATTTTTCTAATTAAGGATTTAATTCCATGCATAATTTACAGCTTATAAAACGTGTAAAAAAATTGGAAATCAAAAAACAAACTTACGTATTAAGTGGTATACCATTTTAGGAGGCCAAGCACGATCGTATCACATAAGAAAACGGTAATCTAAGCTTTAACGACGTTTAGTTTTCCGAACGATTTAATGAATGAAGTCAAGGTATCTGCGATACGCCAGATAAGATATTGGAAATTATTTTCATGCACATTTTTATGCAATTTCGAAATCAAAAGTTTGCTACGCAATATTTGTTTTTACCCTAAAAGGTAATGTTCTATGTTGAGCTTCTTTACATAAAGCACTGTGTTTAGTCTGTGAATTTCAATGTCAATGATCTAGATTTGTTTGAGGTTAAAAAAAACTATTTTCATGAACAGATTTTCCCACGTGTTTCTTAAAGGTCAAATGTAGCCCGCACATAAATATGACTGAGAAATTCTAATCTGGTGAAAAGGTGTAGACGTTCGCTGACATTTCTGAGAAGATATAAGCTTATTTCCCGCAGGAACTGTCGTCCTGGTTTTACAACAAATCGATACCGCACTCTGCCTAATTGGGTCCGGCGGGATAATTTTAGTAACAAGCTAATATTTGACGTAATGCTTCTATATATAAAACCGGCCCTACCCTTCGGCCAACCCTCCAAGTCTATCACGAGTTTGACAAAAACTGTCACCCACGAGGTATAAATAGGCACGCGAATAAGGAATTCATTGAACCTACCGAAAATAATGTTTCGATATGATTCATGGAGGTACTTCAGATAACTGTCGTTTATTTCAAGAAATACAAGAAGGTTTATCAAAATGTTTACAGTCAGTTTTGTTGATTTCAAACACACGTTATCTTGTTATTGCCTTATTATTTTACGTTGCAACCTTGCCACAAAAGTGACATAGTTTACAACCACAAAACCTACATACCACCACACGTTACCCTTCTTCTAGAAAATATCGGCATTTTTAATACAGAAACTATTTTAAAAGAGAAACCTTTCATCGCAGAGTGAAAGTAAAGTTAATGTCATGGGTCAAAAAAGTTACTCAATACACAAGATGACAGTTTTTCTTAAACAATTCTTTGAATTATCGCGGAGTGTTATAGCACCACTTTCTTGCATCTACAAGTACCGAAGATTATTAAATTGCTTGTTAATCGAGTTGAAAAACGAGGGACTATTAGATTTCTCTTAGCGCGAACCTAGGCTCCTCCAAACAAAAATTAGAAACGGTCTGTATAAAAAAAATGTGTTGTTGATGGAGAATCAAACATGTCGCGCTTGAATATATCATTGTTTTAAGAATTCCAATATTTCAGACAAAGAAAAAATACCCCTACCGGGGTGTGCGATATAGGAAGATGGATTATTTTCCTTTTTTTCTGTTTCCAAATGGAATAGCTGTGTATTTAGTGTCACCATATGGTTGTCGGTAAGCGAAATGAGTTCAGCCGTTGAAAACACTGCTTCCTGTACAAAACTCGACTGGTTTCGCCAGTTAAGGAAGCTGTTCTCCACATTGGATGAGGTAGGCAGCAGTTGAGCCATTCGAAAAAGGACGTAGTTCCTAGTGGTTTTTACAGATACAATTCTGTAGAATTCCAAATTAATTTCCGTCGTTTTTCTTTGGAATTTCACGTTCTTATTAAATATGGGAAGTACGTGAATCAACTACACTGATAAGAATTGTGGAAATTCACATAGAAATTGAACATACATGATACATTACACTTTGGAGTATATATTTTCATTTTGAGATATATTCTTACCCTTTACGTTGTAGTTTTACAATTTACAATGTTTTACTCCTAATTCTTTATGTGTTTTTACTATATTTGATGTAAATATAGAATAAAAGTGTGAATTTACATGACCTGATTTAGATCGACCAATCAGTCAACTGTGCTAGTTGTCAGCAGGCATGTTTAGATTTATTTGTGGCGTAATAATATAGCACACCTATTTAACTACCTAAATGTTATAAATAAATACTGAGGCTCTCGGTATATCTTCATTTAAAGTTACTGGAGAGTATGTACCTATACACATTGACATCTAGATTGTAGCTTTGCTTTTACTCTTTTAAATGTAATCGAAACGCCTGTAGTGCTATTCATATGAACATTGCAAGGCTGACTTGCAGTTCTTTCGACTTTTTTTCCAAAGAAATCACCAAGGTTAACCGGTAGGCAATCAAAAATAACGCTAGATTTAATAATTTTATCAGGTGTTGACTGTTGGATGCGATGTAAGTGAATCAGTGCAGTAGATATGTAAAAGAAATGGTATAAGTAGTTTCTGGAAGAAAATCGAAAGGGGAATTGCGTCCAAGAAACAATACTTAGAACCTTAGT